GTTGGGTTTAGGATTTAGGTTTAGGGTTTAGGGTTTAGGGTGTAAGTTGGATTTTTAAGTCGGATAGGTATAGTTGTAGCCTATAGTAGGAGATTGACAAATTAGCCTTAAACCCAAACCTTATATAACCCTTAAAGGAACCCTAGCTACAACCTTCGATAGAGTAGAAGGCCAAAAGTTGGAAGCCCAAACGGTTTAGGGTTTAGGGTTTAGGGTATAGGGTTTAGGGTTTAGGGTTTAGGGTTTAGAGTTTAGGGTTTAGGGTTATATATGGGCAATCCCAGCATGAATTGTCCTTACTCCGGTTTCCAACTTTGGGGTTTTACTTTACAACTCGCCATGAACCTCCAAGCAGAGCCCTTATAGAGCCCATATGAAACCCTAACCCTTATACAGCCTTCTAGAGCCCTTCTAGATCCCCTACTTGGAGGTTCATGGGTAGTTATAAGTAGGGTTATAAGTAGGGTAACTATAGTTATAACCTATATTAGGGGACTTCTAACTCCACTTAAAACTACCCATGAGCCTCCAAGTAAAGGAGCCGCCGAGCAGGTAGTGAACCCGGAGAAAGATTGGAGTTGGCGGCTCTACCCTCGCGATGCGCAGCCTCTCAGGTGCCATGGGGAAGACAGAGATTTCCGCCAATACGGCTTAGGGTTTAGGGGGTAGGGGGTAGGGTTTTAGGGGTGAGGGTTGAGGGTTTAGGGGTTTGTAGGGTTTTGGTGGTTTTTAGGCCTTGGGGTTTAAGGGTTTAGGATCAAGGGTGTTTGACGAGGACTAAACGTATTTTCGCGCGGATGTGACAACTCTCGGAACAGGTTCACCCATGTGAGCAAAGAGGGCAAGCTGGTCGCGAACGATCCCGATGCTGCACGGATCTCGGCGGTCTCGCCAGTAGGGTGTCGGGATCAGATTAGCTGTAGCCTCTCTCAACCTTATTGAAAAGTCTTGCTAAGTCTACAGTACTTGCAAGGATCAGGGGTTCAGATTTTGCAGGTTCGGTTCGGTGTCAGGATATGCTAGATAATCCCAACGGGTTCTACGTACCTACATAGTAGAATGTAGGGTTTCTATATATTGGGAAATGCTAGTATGGTTTGGGAAAGTAACCCCCAAAATGCAGGGGCCTAAATAACTACCAATACTAATTTGGGGGCTCCGTATTGCAATTATAGTATACTGGGCCGCAAACCCTATTCTAATTACAAGGCCCCAACATTAACAGTACACGGGACTCCTTGACGATGGGGCTAGACCCAAAGCCCTAAACCCTAAAACCCTGAACCCTAAAACCCCAAACCCTGAACCCTGAAACCCTTAACCCTAAATCCCTGAACCAGGGGTTAGAGTGTAGGGGTTAGGGTACAGGGTTTAGGGTTCAGGATAAGGGTTCAATTTTTAGGGTTTAGGATTAGGGTTCAAGGTTTAGGGTTTAGGATAAGGGTTTAGGGTTTAAGGGTTAAGGGTTCAGGGTTTAGGGTTTAGGATAAGGGTTTAGAGGGTTAAGGGTTTGGGGTTTAGGATAAGGTTTAGGGTTTCAGAGTTGAGGGTTTAGGGTTTAGGGTTTAGGGTTTAGGATAAGGGTTTAGAGGGTTAAGGGTTCAGGGTTTAGGGTTTAGGATAAGGGTTTAGGGTTTAAGGGTTTAGGGTTTAGGGTGTAATGCTTCATGTGCCCAAGTAGTATATTTTTGTTGCCTCAAAGTGCCTATATAGGGACTATACTGACTATACTTTAAAGGCCAAAGCATATAATAATTTGGGCACGAGAACCCTTAGGGTAGGTCATCTCCATCGGGACCCATAACCGAAGAAGCCTTGAACCCCCAAACCCTACTAGTATAGAAGCCTACCCAAGGGCTCTTATTGCTGTTATGGGCTTTCTAGGGGAAGGTTTGGGCTTTGGGGGCTCGGGTTTAATGATCGTACCAACATTATTCCTGAGATTTCCTGATTATAGTTATACTAGAAAGAAGCCCAATACCCGACTCAAATTATCAAGGCCCCTACGTTATCAGCCCTGCATCTGCAACAAGGCTGAGGGGGGGGTTTAGGGTTTAGGGTTTAGTTGAGAGACCCTCGAAACCCAAGTGTTTCGAATTCTCTCAGGTGGTCGTTGCCATCGGCGACTTGAAAGCAGGCCCGACAAGTAGGGTTTTGTGCTCCACAATCCCATACTAGTATTCGGGTTTTTTTTTTGTACGTGCACTTCTGGTATAACTTGGACTATCTTGGAGTCTCGGAGGTTTAAGGATGTGGGCTTACTTGTAGGGTTTAGGGTTTAGAGACGGTTGTGTAGGCGCAAACCTTACCAACACACCGTGAAGATCCACCTTTCTAGAAGACCTAACGTGGGGACCTTAATAATTAGAATGGGGTTTTGGGGGCTCCTTATTATGATTATAGTAAAATGTACCCAAAACACTATTGTTCTAACTATTATAAGGCCCCTATATTCAGTTCAAACGAATAGAGGGCAACCGTTCAGAGTTTAGGGTTTAGAATTTAGTAAGGGTTTAGGGTCCATGATAGAAGCCTAAATAATTAGCCATGCTGTTCTGTAGGGTTCCTTACTCTAACTATGCTTTATTCTAACCCAAAGCCCCATTTTACTTTTCAGGCCTTTCGAGTAATCCCTTCATTACTCCCTATAGGGTATACTATAATGTACCCCAAACCCGATTCTAGTGATGAAGGCCTCTAAAGTAATCCCCTAAA